TAAAAAAAAAAAAAATTAGCCAGCCGTGGTGGCGTGCACCTGTAGTTCCATCTGCTTGGAAGGCTGAGGCAGAGGGATCGCCTGAGCCTAGCAGGCTGAGGCTGAGGTGGCCATGAGCATGCCACTGCACTCCAGCCTGGGCGACAGAGACTCCTACTCAGAATAAATAAATAAAAACTCTTCAGAGGCTTTTACTGGAAGAAGCAAATTTGCAAACAAAAATTACTGCCTAGGACAACCCCCTTGGGTCCCCTCCCACTCTGGGAGCTTTTCTGTCCTCTCAATAAATCCTGCTTCAAAAAAAAAAAATTACTGCCCAATGTCCAAGGAGCAGAGGTTGTATGTATGTACATGATCCCAGGGAAACTTTTAGGGAGGTGTGGCGTGCCCAGCAAGCTTTCTAGGGTGTTCACACATTCTTCCTCTGCTTTACTGATCTTCTTAGGAGGCACAAATCATGTCTTTATAAACTCTTAGCATTTGGCACCACGCCTGACAAAGAACAGGTGCAGAAGTCTGCTGACGCCACGAGAAGTGAGTTGTATTTCTAGGACTGGGCCCTCCAACTCCTGGAAACCCGAGCACAGTAAGTCAAGAAAGAACAGTAATTATGTGGCCATCATCTCTATAACAAAATCTCATAAATGCACATTTCCCTGAATATATGGCCCGAGCCTCAAGGCTAAATATAATGGTCTCGCACACCAGTTTCCAAGGGGAGGAGTGACGTGGGAAAGCTTTTAAATTAATTAAGAGAGACACTCAGGCACACTTCATGCCTTTCTTTAATCTCCATTCTCCTGTGATAAATATTGAATGACAGAAGCGGTCCCAGGCTAACGAGCTGGAGGCAAGACCCTATGGAGGTTAAACACTCAGCAGCACCCAGGGCTCAGAAAAAGGAAGAAGAAAATGGGCGCCTTGGACTGGCTGTGTCACTAATGTCACCAAACAGTGCTCTGAAGAATGCCTACCAGACATGGGATCTCACCCTTCTTTAACTCATAGCAACTTAAACAACAGATAAAAAGGAGCCAGCATGTATTGCAATTAAGAAGTCAGAGAATAATAACAATAATAATTATAATTCACTGAGGGTTTTGAAGTGTCAGGCATTGCACTTCCCACAGAAAATTCCATTTAATTGTGGTAGCCAGCCTTCAAGATGATTCCCATGTGCTGGTACACACACCCTAGCATAGTCCCATCATGCTGAATCAATGCTGACTCATGTGACCAACAGAAAACTACAGAAGGAATTGTCTGTGACTTCTGAGGTTAGATCATGAAAGAACATCATCACTTCCAATACCACCACTTGGCTCACCTGCCTAGGGGAAACAAGCACTACACCAAGAAGGTTCTCCAGTAGCCCTGAGGTGAGGCCCTCGTGGAGAGGAATCAATTTGCCAGCCATATTACTAGGCCACCCTGAAGTTGAATCTTCCCATTCTCAGCAAGTCTTTGACTCTTCAGCTGAAGCCCAGATGTCAGAGAATAGCCATCATCACTGGGCCCTGTCTGAATTCCTGATCCACAGAACTCATGAGATAATTGTTTTAAAAATTAAGTTCTCATTGGCGGCTGAGGTGGGAAATCGCTTGAAGTCAGGAGTTCTAGACCAGACTAGGCAAAATCATGAGACCCCCATCACCACTGAAAAAAAAAATTGACCAGGCATGGTGTCGCAGACCTGTAGTCCCAGCTACTCAGGAGGCTGAGGTAGGAGGATCTCTTGAGCCCAGAAGTTTGAGGCTGCAGTGAGCTATGATTATGCCACTGCATTCCTGTATGAGCAACAGAGCAATGCCCTGTCTCTAAAAATATTTTCAAAAGTTAACTAAATTCTGTGGTGTTTTGTTATATGGCAATAGATAACTCATACATGAGAGCTGGATACTTTATGTTATAATTGAGGAGAGTTTAACTAATTCAATCGTGTACATACTAAGTGAAGCCATGGGGATTTGAATCCAAGTTTGCAGATTTGAGACTCCAGTCTCCCATTCTGCCCTATTACTCCTGACAGATAAACATAAGGTATTTAACCTATTTCCCACCACTTTTGTTAAGGGAAAAGTAATCATGTAATAGGAATCTCTGAAGTACTTTGGTGGTCTCCAAGACACTTTCTTTATCCTACAGAGGACCCACCATTCTGACTCACATTTGAGTCATTTTTCTATGGCTGGCTCAGAGGCTTCCTCACAGCACTTGTAACAAGCAGAAAGCTGGAAATCATCCTATGGACTCCGCATCAAGCTGCCTGCTGTATCAACTCTACCTCTTTCAGGCAAGGTGACCCTAGGAATATTACCCCAACTTCACGAACCTCAGATTTCTGATTCTTAGAACAGGGTCGGTATTAACACATGTGGGTTTTTTTGCACTGCATTAGAAAAATCCTCATAAAGTACTTAGCACATTGCCTGGTACATAGTAAGTGCTCGATCAATGCTACCTATTTGGATGATGATATCAAATATGTTTTGAAAAATATACACCATTTTAAGTGGCCAACCAAAAGCTCTTCTCTCAACCTTTCCTCATGTCAGAAAGAGAAATTCCAACTAAATAGCAGCAGCTCTTGGGAGTGACAAGGTCTCACCACGCAAGCACTGAAACTTCCAGTCACCAGGTTTAGCCAAGGGGCTAGAGCTTTGGCCATGGTTCCTACTAGATCCAGCCTGCACTGGTCAAGGAAAGCTGCCACATAGCTCCACCATCCAGTGGGACAAGCGCAGACAGCACTTTGGCTCTTTGTTACGAGAAGAAATGGAAGGCAAGGAGAGTCTCCCTCACCCTGGTTTTTGTTTTAACTTTTATTTATTTTTATCTTAAAGATGTGGGGTACAATTCAGGGTTAGGGATACAAATGTTCATTATGCAGTATCCTTGTTGATGAGGTATGCCCCCCTCCCTTGGCAGTTTCCCACTATGGCCAATCCCTTTCTCATAGTATTATGATAATTGTTCTAAGTCCGTTAATGAGTGAGAACATGTGGTACTCAGTTCCTCACCCTGGTTTTATAAGCAGTAGTGTAGAGGCAGTTTCACCTCCATCCTATCTCTTAATCCCATCATATTCTTACCCTTTTCAGTGCAGACTAAGCTCCTTAGATCCTGCCAACACTTACTCCAATGCCTTCCCTTGTGGGTCACTTTTTCTTGGTCTTGGGGCTAACAAGCTCTCTTGTGTCTTATTGTCCCTTCAGGTGATTCCTACCTCAACGATGTTTAGATTCCCACCTCCCATTGAACTTAGTTTGACGGCTCCTCCTTTTTTCTCTTTAAACATAAGTATGATTTCTGTGTAAAATCCTGTTTGGGGTACAAAATATTTCCATAAACTTCCACTTTTGGATGAGACCAAAAAAAAAAAAAAGTTGGGAGAAATACCAGTCACATTCACCCACCTCAAAAGAAACACAAATTTCTAGCCTTGCCAAATGCTGAGTTAGGTGCCTGGGAGGACATGAAGAATCATTAAGATGCAGATCCTGGGCTGGTGTGGTAGCCCACACTAATAATTCTGAACTTTGGGAGGCTGGAACTGGAGGACTGCTAGAGTCCAAGAGTTTGAGACCAGCCTGGGCAACATAGCCAAAACCTTGTCTTTACAAAAAAACTCAAAAAAAAAAAAAAATTAGCCAGGCATGGTGGCATGCACCTGTCTTCCCAGCTACTTGGGAGCCTGAGGTGATCAAGGTTAACATGAGGGCATGAGCCATGATCATGCCACTGCTCTCTAGCCTGGGCAACAGAGTGACACCTTGACTCAAAAAAAAAAAAAAATTACAAAAAAAAGATGCAGAGTCTACCTTCAAGCGACACCCCCCCCAGTCTAACAGAAGAGATTAAAAAACAATATTAATAACTAGAATACAAAGTGCCTAGTGATGAATACCATAAGCAGCAGGTACAGAGTGCCCAGGAGGCCAGAGGAAGGGAAAAGGAGGAGATGGGGACACAGGGGAGACACCTTCTGGAGCATTCAGCCTCGGAGGTGGGCTCCAAAAGACTGAAGGGTCTCAACCAAAGAAAGCGGGGAAGGGCAGAGGTCACACACTCCAGGCAGAAGGCACAAAAGGCAAGCAGCCAGCAGTGCATGCGGTAGGTATGGGAAATGCCCTGGACTCATGTCCTTCCTTCAGTTCGGAGACATTTTGTAAAGAAGCAGGGACAGAGATTACAAAAATAAAGTTGTACGGCAAAAAATATACTAGCAATGTTTAGCCATAAAAATTTTTGAGAAAGAGAAAAGTAAACGGTGTTTTACCCATTACAGAGCAAATAAGTAACATATTCTAATTCACTTCTCAGCGCTCATGAACCTAAAAACCCTAAAACCAGAGATGTACATTTTCAAAGGAGGCCATGCCAAGTGAACTGGTGGATGACTCTTCCCAACATGTTAAGTAAGTTTCCCTCACTGAAAAATCTTTTGCTTGAGCCACTGAACCATGAAGTCAAACACTTTCCATTCCAACTAGTTTTTTTTCCTGTTTTACTTTTAAAAGCTATTACCTCAAGTGAGAGGGCACACATTGGACGACCTAAGTCAGTACTCTGTTACTTACCTGTAGAGTCAGTTCAATGATGTCCAAGAACCAGTATCCATTAACAGAACTGGCTCAAGGTGGAGTCAACGTGTGTCAGAGATGAGCATGATTAACGATAGGTCTAAGTGTGTGTATATGTTTATGTATTTTTTTATCCTGTGACCCAAATTTAGAAAGCTACAGTACAAAGCAAGCATTCAAGCAGAATTTCAGTGCATCAGAGCACCCTTCTCTATTTCCTTATTAAAACCAAAGAGCTCAGTTCAAAAAAAGATACAGAAAGCATCACAGGCCATTGGTCACTCTGAAATGGTGGGTCTTGAAATGGGAAAAAGCCCCTGGTTAATATTTCTGTGTCTTCTGGGTCCAACAGATGCTCTTGATGCAATGCAAAACTGGATGACATGGCCCCAGGCTGGGGTTCCTTAGCAAGCTTACCATATACCACATGCTTGGCCACTTGGGATCATTGAAGTAGGTAGACTGGGCACGACTGAGGTCATAATCCCTCTTTGTCCGTTTTTTTACCACTTGCTGTTGGATCCATTCCACCTGCCAAGAAGAACATTGGGTGAGTGTTCAAGTTCCATCAAGGTTAGCACAACATAAATGACAGTCAGAGGCATTTCCCATCTTGAGTAGATGCTATTTAAGCCACAGGCAACTAAAATCTCAGAGTCTAGGAGATTAGAAATTCCTTAGAAACCCAATTTTGTACATTTTTAATGCAATGCAAGCAGGTATTTTGATTTTTTTATGAGCAAATCATTTCTATCTCTCAAGAACAACCTAACCTTTTAGCTTTTTCAGGAAGCATATTTTACTCACATTTTATTATAAACTAGTAGTGTTATGTTTTAAGGTAATTTTTCATCCTTACCTTATACTAAGAGATAAAGTAAGGCAAACTTTCTCTATAAAGGTCCAGATACTCAATATATTAGGTTTGGAAGTCACATGTTCTCTGTTGCAGTTACTCATTCTGCCATAGTAGCAGCACAGACATAGACAAATACATAAAACTTTACGTATAAAAACAAGCTGAATTTGACCTATGTGCACAGTTTACAATCCTCGACTTATCCAACACATCAAATTTTTTAAACATTCGGGGCTCAAACACTCCAGGACCACAGTTTTTTAAAAGATGGCTTTCTACAATATAGTATGGCAGAAAAGCACTATTTGTGGAATCAGAAAAGCTGAAGCCTAAAACAAAATTGAAGGCACTCCGTCTCCTAAGTCATGGGCTCCTTGCCAGATCTAAAATTCAAACATGCTACATTTGAGAAAAGTCTTTTTTTTATTTTTATTTTTTGAGTTGGAGTCTCACTCGGTCGCCCAGGCTGGAGTGCAGTAGCACGCTCACAGCCACCCCAGTGACAACCTGTTGGGCTCCAGGGATCCTTCTGCTTCAGACTGCCAAGTAGCCAGAGCTACAGGTGTACGTTACCATGCTCGGTTAAATTTTTTTTTTTTTTTTAGAAAAGTCTTAATATTTAGTCATGACCTCTGTTTAAACAAAGTAACCAGGAATCTTGAGTTTACTACAGGATCTATATAATGGTAGGGGTAATGTGTAAGATTATTTTCTTTAAAACAGTCCATCATTATGGCAACACGAAAATAAGCATGTTCCAATTCTGAAGGCGTGTCTCAACTGCAGCATCAACCCTGGCGGCAGGCTTCAATTTGTTCCTAAATGCTCCTGTGTTTGATTTCTGCTGGTAATAACTGAGTCAAAATGTTCTGAAATATTTTGTTGGATCTTTTATCCCTGCTCTCCACAAGGGAATTAAGACATGAGTGGGGAGGAGAGGAATCCTGGAGTCCACTGCTGTAATTCCATATCCACCATTCAGTTAAGGTTTCTAAACCTCTCTTGCCTACTCTATTAAAAAATTATTGGAGGCTGGGTGTAGTAGCTCATTCCTGTAATCTCAGCACTTTAGGAGGCCGAGGTGGGAGGATCGTTTGAGCTCAAGAGTTTGAGACCAGCCTGGGAAACATAGCAATGTCTCGACAAAAAAAAGAAAGGAAAAAAAAAGGAAGCTGGGCACTGTGGCATGTGCCTATAGTCCCAGCTACTCAGAAGGCTGAAGCAGAAACAACACCTGAGTCCAGAAGGTGAAGACTGCCGTGATCTATGATCATGATCATGCCACCACACTCTAGTCTGGGCAACAGTGGGACTCTCACTCAAAAAAGAAAAAAAAAGAAACTGGAGAAGAAAGGATCCCTAAGTACTCTTCTCAATCAATGTGGCACAGCAAGTATGGTCATCCATATACATTTTCTATTTCCAAAAAACAGTTTATCCTCTTCATTTCAAACAATCTAAGGAATGAATTTCATTCAGTCATTGATTCATTCGATAAGCAAAGTGCCAGGCACTGTGCTGAGAAGATAAAGATGAGAGAGAATTGTCTTTACCTTTGAGGCACTTAACATTTTACCAGGGAAATGCAGAAAGTAGTCCCCAGTTCACCACTTTATAAAAAATATCATTATCTCTATGAATGACATTTGACACAGGCCCTATCTCTGTATTACTCAGGCCATTTATGACAATTTTGACTACACAACTTATATTTGCAATCCTTATGTTACTGTCTATAAGTCTTATCCCAATAAGGTTGAACTAGTTCATATTTGCACGGTTGATAAAAGAAGGTTGCAGATCTGTTTAGACAGAACTCTTTTCAAAACTAATCCTATATTGGCAGTGCCTTTCCTAATGAAGTCTTCATAAATTCCAAACTGCCAACCTATATGTGTGCACAACCAGAAAGTGTCAACTTTCTCCCAGTAGGGACTCAATAAAGAGACTTCCAGCAGTCAGAAGCATCTCTACTAGGGTGAGTACAGATAACTATTTTTACCAGGAACCTGTAAGTATGCACTCCTCCCAGTGCCCACATTCAAACACACAAATGAAATAAGTATGTGAGAAAACCAAGTGACAACCATTTTCCTACATGAACTCTAGGTATGAAAATAGAACAAAATATCTTACTAAACAGCATCTCTTCTATAATTATACCAATCAAAAATGCTTAGTTACAGGGCTTGGTGGCTAGAAGGTGACACAGCAACTTGGCATCTAGATTTGATGACAAGTCACTCTGTCTGATCACAGGGCTGCAATACTCAAGAAAAGGTCAGAGGGGTTTTTTTTAGTGTCAAATACCATGTATTTTGCCTTGGTGCTTTATGGGTATGAATATATAGCCCTATATTTTTTGGAAAGCGGGAAAAGCACCTCTTGGATTGGAAGGTTTCTGTGACTGGAAAGACCATACTTATATTTTTAAACTATTATCCATATGTCTATCCTTGAGCTCTTTAAGAAAAAAGTCAGAGGTAATGCATTATACAGATTTTACTTCTTGCCAAAGAAGCCCAAGGCAAAGAAAAGATGCTTAAAAATTCATTTTCATAAAACTAATGGTCAGCCCAGGAGAAAGTAATAATGGTGTGCTTTGCCTCACTGGTTTAACTTCTGAAAGTTCTATTTCCTATACATTAAGGAACTATAGTTAATCCAGAGTGTAAAAACTTCAAGACCTTTAAAATCAGTCTAGGGAGGAGTAGGCAGGGATAGAAAAAAAAAAAAAAAAAGGAATCGGTCTAGCTCCCATTGATCTCAACATGCTAGTGCAACATGGTTTTAAGGACATTCCCTCCTCCCTCTTACTAGCAGTGCTCTCCTTCCTTGGACCACAGTCCAAGTAAGCATTGTGCATTTGCTTCTTGAGGGAAACTGCTAGGGCAGGGAGGGGCATACCTCATTAACAGGGATACCTACATGATCAGTGTTTGTATACCTAACCCTGAATTGTATCCCACATCTTTACATTAAGATAAAAAATAAAAAAATAAAAATAAAAAGAACAAGCCGGGCTAGGTGGCTCAGCCTGTAATCCCGCGCTTTGGGAGGCTGAGGTGAGTGGATTGCCTGAGCCCGCGGGTTCGAGACTCACTTGGGCAACTTGGCGAGACCTCATCTCTACAATAAATCAAAAAATTAGCTGGGCGTGGCAGCGCGCGCCTGTAGTTCCAGCTATTTGGAAGGCTGAGGCGGAAGAATTACTGGAGCCCAGCAGGTCGAGGCTGCGGTGGCTGGGAGCGGCCACTGCACTGCAGTCTGGGTGACAGAGTGAGACTCCAACTCAAAAAAAAAATAAAAATAAAAAATAAAAAGAACTTTGTCTAAAGATGCCCACTTTCACAAGATCCAAAACACATTACTTGACAATTATGGGAAGCCTGCTCTCACAATCTCAGCAGAACTTGTATCTCATTATTTTGGAATTTACCAGTTTTCTGATACTGTACATGAGGAAGGCATCAGGAGAAATAAAAAAGATTCATCATTTGAATATATTATATATTGTTATGTAAATATTAATAAGAAATAAATTGTGGTATTGTTTTAAAAATGTATCCTGCAGTGAGAAGAAATCAGCTCTGCAGATATACTAGTAGCAAATGTCTAAGATCTAGCAAAGAAATAGAACAGAGAGGTAAGAAGTTGATCCCAAACATATAAGAATATATTATATGATAATAATGCTACCCTAAATCATCAAGGCAAAACAAATCACTTCACCAATGGCGTTGAAACAATAACCAACTGGAAAAAAAAAAGTTGAAGCCATACTCACATCTTAGTTCAGGATCAATTTCAAATGCATCAAATACTTAAGTGTAAAAGTATTATAATAAATATAAGAGATTTTAAAAATTATCTTAGAGTAGAAGATGCTTGTCCAAGTATAATACAAATTTTAAAAGGTGATTTAGACTGATGTGGTGGCTCACACCTATAATCCCAGCACTCTGGGAGACAGGTGGGAGTCTCGCCTGAGTCCAGGAGTTCGACACCAGCCTAGGAAACGCAGTGAGACCTCTTCTCTATAAAAACTAAAAATTAAAAAAATTAGCCAGACATGGTGGCACATGTCTGTAGTCCCAGATACTTGGGGCTGAGGTGGAAGTATCACCAGACCCCAGGAGGTCGAGGCTGTGGTGAGCTGTGATTGTGCCACTGCACTCCAGCCTGGGAGACAGGATGAGACTCCCAAGTCAAAGAAAAAAAAAAGGTGATTGAGAAAAGTTAATAAATTTGACCACATAAAAATAACTTGAGTTTGATATGGCAAAAGAAAAATCAAAAGCAAGACAAAAGACAAACAGGGAACAGTTTACAGATTCTACCATGAACAAAAGACTATTTCCCTAATATACAAAGAGATTCTACAATTAATAAGCAAACAATTAAATAGGAAAATGGACAAGGGATAGGGATACAAAAACCTCTGAAAAGGTAAACCAAGTTTCTTAAACATGTAAAAATAAGCCTAGTGTCATACATGTTAAGACAAAAGCAAATTTAATCTAAACCATGATACCACTTTCCACCTTTCGGATATAACCTGCTTAAAGGTTGATAATATGGTGTTAGTGAGGGCATGAGAAAACAGTCATTCTCACATAAAGGGTGAGGGGAATGCAAATTTGTACATAAACCTAAATCGGACAAGACCTTA